ATTTTGAGATAATAATTTTGGTTGTCTTCTTCAGCACTTGTTCTGCTATTCCATCGGAGCCCCACATTAGGTTTGTGTGTTAAAACTAATATATCTCTGCAAAACTGGAGTTCCTTGAGTGTGTAGAACTGTATAATTTAACTGAGATTGGTCCCAAACCTCCTCCCCTGCCAATAAAAGATGCCTGCCTAAATGGAAAGGTGTGGGAGGATAGTGGGGTTTGGCAACACATTTTTTAAAAAATAAAACATCAAGCAGAAGAACAAAGGAACACAGCAGAAGGATGCCCCACAGTCCTTACCTGTGAGGAGGCCGGTGGAGGCCAGGAGCACTGGCTGGGAGGCAGAGAGGAACAGACCGAAAGACTGAGGGAGCTGGGAAGTTTGGTAGCCCTGCCCTCTGCTCCCAGAACTCAGCAGCAGTTCATGCTCAGAGAGGCTGGTATGGGCAGGGGAGGGGGGCAGAGGGGGGAGGGAGGAGAGCCCCACTGGTGGGCTGGATTAAAGGCCTGGGTGGGCTGTTTCTGGCCCGCAGGTTTGACACCCCTGTTCGAAAACAAAGTTTGAGTCCAGTGGTATCTTCGGATACCAAGTGTGCATGCACACGAAAGCTTATACCCAGAAACAGGGCTATTTTTGGGCAGGAACGCACAGGAACGGAGTTCCGGCTGGCTCCCAAGTTGGCCACACCCAGCAGGAACTCATTAGCATAATAGGCCACACCCAACAGCAGAAACTCATTAGGATTGGCTACATTAGGGGTGTGTGGCCTAACATGCAAAGGAGTTCCTGCTACAAAAAAGCCCTGGGTAAACAGAATAAGAAGCAAAAGGTGGGTGTGGCTGGATGAGCACACTTCTGGTAACATGGGGGTGCGGCCTAATATGCCAATGAGTTGTGCTGTCAGGGGTGTGGCCTAATATGCTAATGAGTTTCTGCTGTTGGGTGTGACCTATTATGCTAATGAGTTCCTGCTGGGCTTTTTCTACAAAAAAAGCCCTGCCCAGAAATAACCTTTGCTGGTCTTAAAGGTGCCACTGGACCGAAACTTTGTTCTACTGCTTCTGGCCAACACGGCTACCCGCTTGAATCGATGCACAAGTTGTAGTTGCACATAGAGGATCACATACTGTGTTGGCATACCGATTCGTCTTGTCTTGTTTCCCATGGTCACAGTCTGTGTTGCTTTGACCCGCAGGTGGTGTGGGTGTAATGTTGCAAGGCAGTAACAAGCACTATTATTCCTTTTCTTTTTTGCAGCTGCCACCTTGACTACCATGACTTAAAAAAATAACCCAGGGGTGGCCTAAAGCCACTTATCATTGTAGGATTCTACAGAGCGAGAAGCCCACCGTTTGGGATCTTGTTTTGCTGCCCAAACTGCAAATCAAATTGCAGATGGCTCCAGGAAGCATTAATGTGTAGATAAAAACGTCCTTAATGTAGTAAGCCAGGGAATGAAGGCAATTGTTCTCTCCAATGACAAATATTGTTTTAAATTGGAGTACAGGATCATATTTCTAAGCACTTCTGTGAACTTCTTCTGTGAACAGAGAGCTCTGTGGCTTTACATGGCAGACAGCGAGTGCAATTAGAAGCCCGTGGCTCAGAGTCTAATCTATTTGTAAGAACCATTTGATTCCAGTAATCTGGTTTGAACACATGGAGCTGCCTTATACCGAATCAGACCTCTGGTCCATCAAAGTCAGTATTTTCTATCCATACTGGCAGTAGCTCTCCAGGGACTCAGGCAGAGGTCTTTTATATCACCTCTTAAAGGTAAAGGTAAAGGTTCCCTTCCTCGAAAGCCAGTCGAATCCGACTCTAGGGTTGCAGTGCTCATCTCCGTTTCAAAGCCGAAGAGCCAGCGCTGTCCAAAGACGTTTCCGTGGTCATGTGGCCGGCATGACTTAAACACCAAGGTGCATGGAACGCTGTTACCTTCCCACCGAAGTGGTACCTATTTATCTACTTGCAATTTCTTGCTTTCGAACTGCTAGGTTGGCAGGAGCTGGAACTAGAGACAGGAGCTCACTCTGTCTTGCGGCACCCAGGTCTCGAACTGCTGAACTACTGACCTTCCACAGCCTGCAGTTCAGCGTCTTAACCACTTGAGCCACCGCAGCTCCTAATATCACCTCTTACCTGATCCTTTTTGTCTGGGGATACCGGGGATTGAACCTGGGACTTTCTGCATGCCAAGCAAATGCTCTACCACTAAGCCACAGCCCCTCCCCTTTTTGAGCATTTCTTTCCTGCTCAAAATTGTTCAAGATAATCTGTTATGTATTGGGACTGAACCATTCCTGGTATGTCACACCAGAGACTGGCTGAGCTTGGAGCACAAGAACAATAGCCTACCAGGACTCTGGAAGTAACCCAGTCACGTAGTAATGTTTCCTCAGTGAGTCCTCTCCTGTTTCCTCAGTGAGTCCTCATAGAGAATCATGGGCATGATGTTTGGTATTGTTTTAGTACCATCACTGTGAGAAGAGAGAACTGAATAACTGCAGACATTATGGAATCAGTGTCACTAGCACTTTACTATAATTTGTGGTCTAAATGGTTTTAGAATTATTTTATGTTTTATTGTAAGCTATATGTTGACTTTAAGGAAAGGCTGAAAGAGTTGGGTATGTTTAGCCTGGGAAAGAGAAGGCTTAGCGGGGACACGATTGCAGTCTTCAAATAGCTGAAGGGCCGTCATGTAGAAGATGGAGCGGATCTAGTCTCTCTTGCTCCAGATTGCAAGACTAGATCTAATAGATGGAAATTACAAGGGAGTCGATACCGGCTAAATATCAGGGGAAACTTCCCGACTGTAAGAGTGGTTGAGCAGTGGAAGAGACTGCCTCGGGAGGGGGTGGAGGCTCCTTCACTGGACGTTTTCAAGCGGAGGCCGGACAACCATCTTTCGGGTATGTTGCAGGGCTGTCTTTCGGCTGTGCTCCTGCAGAGTGCAGGGGGTTGGACTAGATGACCTGCGAGGTCCCTTCCAACTCTAACATTCTATGATTCTATGTACGCTGCCCTGAGTGGCCTTAGCTGAGAGGGTGGGATAGAAATTTAATATATAAAGAAACAAACAAACACCAGCTTATAGAGTAATTTAAATAATGCAAGGAGAAAAAATACAGGGTCTGCCCCTAGGAGCTTACATCATTTTACTTTCCAGTGTCAGCAGGGGAGGCCATGATGGTAGGGTTGCCAAGTCTATCTTCGCCGGGAGCAGGAGGCTCCCGGCCGGCATCTTGTGCGCGCGCGCGCCACACACACGTCACCCGGAAGTGACGGGAGGACGCCAGGCATGCTGGGGGCGGGGCCACGGCCATACAAGGGAAAACCATAGAGTTTTCCCTTGTATGGCTGTGGCCCCGCCCTCAGCGTGCCCGCATCACTTCCGGGTGACGTGCACGTCGGGGTGGAGTTCCCCTCGGGGCCCGATCTGGCGGCGCCGGGGAACGGGCCTTTGGAACGGGGATTTCCCCGCCCCCCGGGGGGACTTGAGATCCCTACATGATGGATTGAATATGGTGGTTCTGTACATCTTTAGGATTTGTGTCATTAGGCGGCGAGGAGTGAAGGCTGAAAGGCTATGTAGAACAGGTGGTTTTTGAGGAGCACTTTGAAAGGGGGGGCGGAGTATCATTGTCCTAGACCAGAGCTCCCTATCCTTCTTAAGCCTGCGGGCACCTTTAGAATTCTGACACACGATGGAGGGTGCAGGCACAAAGTGGCCGCCACAGCTTACCGTCAGTCACACAGAGAGGCTCCTTGTCCTGCGATGGCCGCTGTTGCCAAAACAACACTAAACAAAAATCTGCACAGCCAATCAGAAGCCTTGCTGGGCAAAAGCCCCGCCTATTTGGAGGTGGAGCCCCAAAGACATGGCAGGCACCAGGGAAGGTGTTGGTGGACCTAGAAGGGGTGCCAGATGGTAAAGGGGGAAGCCATTCGAGGAACCAGAAAGCACTGCTGGGGGTGCCAGAGTTGGAAGTCATAGGGAGGGCTATTATGGAATAAGGGCAGAAAGAACGGACAGAAATAAACTGTGGAATGTTTGAGTGGTAAGGACAAGGGGGTTGTGCTCGAGAGTCAGAGGAGGGGGGGTCAGTGTTCCCTCTAAGCTGAATTAGTGTGAGCTAGCTCACCGTTTTTTAGCCTCCGGCTCACACATTATTTTTGTCTTCGCTCGGGAAGGATGGCCCCAGGGCAAACTAATTTACACAGTAGCCAAATCGCTCGCTCACAGCTTTGATGCCAGTCGCTAGCAAAGTTAGAATTTTTGCTCACAAGACTCCACAACTTAGAGGGAGCCTTGGAGGGGGTTTAATTTTGGACAGTGCATGTCGTGGGGGATGGAAAACATCAGCGATGTTCATAGTAGAGTTTTGGACAGAGGCATTCAGGACTGATGTGTCACAAGGGAAGGTCAAAGGAAAAAGCAACAACCACCTTTGGCAGACAAAATGAAATATGATCAGAAGAACCGTGGGGACAGGGTGCAGTTTTACAGCTTGGTACAGGAAGACATTGTACAATACAGAGCAAAGGGAAGAACAAAATAAATAAAACCAGTGGGGTGGATAGTGATAAGATGGTGATGTGATACGCCTTGTTCTTGTCATATGCGTCATAACTCTTGCCAAATGTAGAAACTGTACGTCTCAGCATTTTTTTAAAACGTATTTTTGGGCTTGAAGGTCACCACTTATGTTTTTGGAATGTAACACTTTCTCACGATGCCTCTCGAGATACTTCATGACAACGAGTAAATAGGCCTTGGCATTTCGGACTTTCAAAAATATCTCAACACTTTGGAGGACCGAGGATGTTGGCCAATGAAGGAGGAGACAGAAGTGCGCCTATTTTTACAAAGTTGGGATTTCTCTGTCACCTTTGAAAGAAACCTCTCCTCTTCAGCGCCACAGTTCTCGCAAATAACAGCAGAAATGGAAACACACACTTATCACCTGTTCCTTTTCTCCCCCCCCCCCGCAGAACAAGATCATTTTAGACCCCATGACGTTCAGTGAAGCCCGATTCCGACCATCTCTCGAAGAGAGGTTGGAGAGTATCATCAGTGGAGCGGCACTCATGGCAGACTCTTCCTGCACCCGCGACGACCGGCGCGAGAGGATCGTCGCAGAGTGTAACGCCGTACGACAGGCCCTCCAGGATCTGCTCAGTGAATACATGAACAATGTAAGTCGGATTCTGCTTTCAGTTTCTTTTTCCTCTGTCGCTTGACCATTCTGTGGATGCGATTCAAGGTTTCTGTGCTTTGTGAGGCATCTGTCTTTCGGACTCTCTCCCCCTCCCTCTGATTTTAGCAGGGGACATGAAGTTGAAATGCCTCTAAGATCGGTGCGCCAGTGATTCAGCTAGGGCGCATAAGGTTCTTCCATGGACATGATGGAGGTTTGACCTTGGGCATCACCTGGATTCTCACTTGCAAATAGGATCGCCAACTCAGGGTTGGGGAATTCCTGGAGATTTGGAGGTGGAGCCCAGGGAGGATGGGGTTTGGAGGGGAGGGGTGTCAGCAGGGTGTAAGGCCACAGAGTCCACCCTCCAAAGTGGCCATTTTCTCCAGAGGAACGTATCCTTGTTGTTTGGAGATCAGTTGGAATCCCATGAGATCTCCAGGCCCCACCTGAAGATTGGCAACTCTAATTGCAAACCATTATAACACAATAACCTTTTGCCTCCAGCACCATTTTAGGCATGCTGTCCTGGTCTAGAGGTTCTGGTTTTTCTTAACTAGAAAAGACCTTGCACGATAATCGAATGTTTTCAAGAAGCTGATACTCTGTTATGAACAGTGTGAATTTTTCTAAAAGTGTGCATGTGGAAGTCAGGTAAGACGTAATTGACCGCTTTCTGTTCTACTGCCCTAATTTCTTTTGTGAAAGGGCAGGGTGTAGCCCTTATAAATAATTTAAACTTAGTAGTACACCCATAGTATTCTTCATTTGTTCCCTGTTTCAAGTCATGTGAGGGTTGGGTTCTAGGTTTGTGTGTGGGAAGAACTAAGGCAGACATAAAGGATGGATTGCTGGATGTTTGCTGACAGTCTAATTGGAACTAATAAGCAAATGTGACTTGTGTGGATTCCCCTGGAGCTGCTGAGTAATCTTTATCATTACAGCAGTGCACACAAATGAAATATTTGAAATACCTTAAATACAGTGATTAGAATTTTCATTAAGCACCACAGTCTTTGCTCACAAAGGAGACACTTTTTTTTTTTTTTTACATTGTCACATTCTCAACTGTACAGCATTGTGGGAGGGGGGGGGTAGATAGATTCTTCCTAAATGGTGCACCACATCGAGATACCCGTAGACTCGAAGCTTTACTTGAAAGTTGTCTAGTTTACACTGTTGTATGGATCCCTGGGATACATGGCATAAGGACCTCTACCAGTCTGTTTAGCATTTGGTGTATTTCAGAATAATGAACACAGTATGCGTGTTGTCAAATAATATGTAGTTTGAGTAATATGGCATGTTCTGCTTTACGTTCCTCACCACGAACATTACGGGTTCTCTTTCCATATGGCGCCATAGTTTCCTTTCTTTCTTTTGGGGGATGCTTTTCAATAAGCAAGAATAATCATTCGGTGTTTCTCAGTTTTGTAGCCTGTTTACCGAAATGAATTGTCCAGGCGAGTGGCGATAAAATGCATCTTTCTCCGTCTTTCTCTGTTCCCCTTCAAGTTTCCGTATCCCTAAAGCGGCGGAAGGGCGGGATAAAAGCCGAATAAATAAAACAAATACCCATGAAAAGAACAAGTTGTTTATCTTACCCTTTGTGAAAACCCATAATGTGTCACATAAAGAAAATGAGGTGTTTTGACTTCCTGTTTCTTTATTCAGTGTGTCTTGAAGGAGCTATATTTTAATAGATCAGGTGGCTTTTACCATTCTGCCAAGAGGAGTTAACTTCAAGGGATCTTTCTTTCCCAAGTAGAGAATTAAAGAGGCAGAAATGGCTTGCTATGTTTCATCAGGTGACAGTTAAGGGGGGTTTTTTTGGAGTGCAAATGACAATAAAAAGTAGATGCTGGTTTATCTTGAGGTGAGAACTATAAAGCAAGTGAGTCAAAGAACAGGTGATGATGATATGCCGTATACCTTTTTGCCCTCGTTGTCTGTGCAGTCTTGTCTTACGGAGTTATGGCTTTCTCGGTGGAAGCGCTAAAAGGCCTTTGCAAAGATAGCTTGAGAGCTGATGGATTATTGTCTTCTTTTACTTACAGCGTCTTTTTTATGTGCAAACCTGCATGAGAGCAGAAGACATTTGCCCTTTATGAAATGTTGCTTATTTTATTTTCTAATGCTACTTCCAGAGAAATCTTTACAGTGTAAACCTTTGACATATAAATGTCTGTGTACCTTTTTACTAACTGTACTAAATCTCACATAAACACTTTTTTTTAAAGGTAGTTTTCCCCCTGCAGTTTCTGTTCTGCCCGTGTTGGAGTTGAACTAGCAACAATTAATACTGGGATAGCCACAGTCATTGCGTACATTTCGGACATTAGGTGCTGACTTAGCAAGGGTGTCATTCAGTGAAGACAGAATTTTATTATCCTGAACAATATGTGATAACAGTGAAAACATTTGTTATCACCTGCTTTCGTAAACCATGGTAGTTTCAGAAAAGCCAGAAGCCTCATTTTTCATTGCCGTAAAGATAGCCTATCATATTGTTATCTAAATATTTTTAAAGACAATTTTTATTAATGCGACAAGATTATTTTTCAATGGGAGGAGGTGTAAAACATGAATTCTACAAACTCTAAAGTCAATTGCAGTTTTCCCAATCTAAACAACTTGTCTGGTCTACAGTTAAGTAAGTCTGAGATTGTTTTAAATGAATCTTAGCATTTCAGTGGGTATTGTGTTTGCTCAGCTTAAATGAACTGATTTTTTTCCTTTTAACAACACCATGCCCTCCAAATTTGTCACATAGTGTTTCATAATACTGAATAGAAATAATAATTTAGTGAGGGGCGGGGGGAGAATTCAAGACTGCATGAGCTGCAAACAGAGGTTATCATAGAAAACACAAATGTAAGCCATTTTTAAAGAGGTGACTGGGAAGAACAGGGGAATATCCCCAAAAGAAACTCGCTTAGGGAGTGGGGAAAGGATGAATGTTCAGTATGGACTTTCTTAGAAAGCCACGATCAGGATCATTAGGGCAAGAGGGGAAGCTGGGATTAAGGGGTGGGGAGAAAAGGATCCACTGTCATGGTGGTGAGGCTGCTTCCTGTGTTACTTTTTAGTTTTGGAAATGTTGTTAAAGGTCACTTCTTTGAGTCACACCCTCAAACACATGCACCAACTAATATTGGTATTGTTTATGCACATGACAACTTCAGTTACGCTTTTAGCATAGTGGGTTAATTTGCCCTTTACAAAGTGGTGCATTTTGCCTTTCATTTGTAAAGCATAGAATTCATAAAGTATTGAAAGTTTTGTTCTCTATAGAAGTATAAGGGGGGGGAAGAGTTTTCCTTTTACAGTAAGTGAAAGAGGCAGTGTTTTATCGAGCACTTAAAGGCAGCTGGTCTAGAAGGCAGAACCTGCAATAAAAAGGTTGATGGAAAATGCAAATCTATGAACTCACAAGACAGTATCCAGAACCATATTTAACAGATCTGGCTGAGCCTCATGCTTGAAAGGGGAGGGGGGTTATTTTTGTACTCCAGAATCACACAAGGTTAATCTGTGTGACAGTAAGTAGTAAATTACATTCATGAGATGGCAAAATATCCATAGTCGTCTCCAACTCAGTCATCAATGATTGGTGGTTGAGATGAATTGCTGAGTTATGTGGATTCTCTAATTTGGTTACAGCAACCTAGGCAGAATAATATATCAACTGATCACAGTGCTGTGCCGCTAGCTTTGGAAAATTAAGCTATTAAAGGAATATGCTAACAATTTGAAAATAATAAAACCAACTACTTTTCAATAAACCGACAAAGGTTTTTGTAACAGGTTAGTTTCATAATGCAAATTACACATCTGTTTCTCAGTATAATCGACTCTATTGGTTGGAAGGGATGGGTTTTCTGGTTTCCCCTTTACCTTAAAACTTGAAAGTAGGTGAATAATTGGAAGCAGTGTGTTTTCTTTAAAAAGATGATAGAAATCCAAAATAAGTTGATTCACGACCATTGATCACATTTTCAAGATTGTTCTCTCTGTGTGTTTGAGAATGTGCCTACCGCTACCAGAGGAAGAATTAATATTGCCTCTTGAATATTTTGTGATGAAACTCATAGTGTCTTTTGTTAAAGATGAGTAACTGCTAGTCCTGTAAACATCCATTTTTTGAAAATAAAGCAAGCATATATGGGAATCACAATGATGAATGTCCCCCCACCCCCAGCATATAACTTACCCAATTAATTCAAACCATGTTTTTTTTTTAGCAACTTCCTTTTGGTGATAATTGCATCTTGCTCATGCGAGCACAGATGTAAAATTCCAATAATTTTTGCCATAGAAAAATGTTTTTTGGGAAACTGAAATATATGCAATACTTACTTTTTTCAGTCCTAAACTTATTTTATCGCTACCAGAACATAAAACACATATGCTGTTGAAGGCTTTCACGGCTGGAGTTCATTCATTGTTGTAGATTTTCCAGGTTGCATGGCTGTGGTCTTGGGATTGTAGTGCCTGATGTTTCGCCAGCAGCTGTGACCGGCATCCTCAGAGATATAACACAGAAAGATGGAGTACTCTGTGTCATTGTGAGAAGACACACTGACATAGAGAGTACTCCATCTTTCTGTGCTATATCTCTGAGGATGCCAGTCACAGCTACTGGTGAAACGTCAGGTACAATGCCAAGACCACGGCCTTACAGCCTGGGAAATCTACAACTATAAGACACATAATTTGCAACTCTGTTATCATTTAACACTACATTATTAGACAGATTTATGCAATTTGAAAGTGTAAATTGCTTAATTTTGTCCAATTCAAATCGCAAACCCACCGTTACTTAAAGAGAGCTGCAATACTCTATGCTGCCTTAGCACATATATCTTGGTTTTTATCAAGTGAGAAGTGTGAGGAGGAGCTGAAACAGAAAACACAATTTTTGTAGTTAACAAAGGGACAGATACAACAGGAAAAGTGGCATTAGATTTTGTAAAACATTGGGTTGGAGTCAAGTGT